CTGATGAATGAGGCCACAGATAAGAGAGGAGTGACAGAAACACTACAGGATTTCCACTAGCTCTTTTCCAGTCAAAATAAAGCAGCCACGTTTCCTCACAGTGCCTCTCGGAATGCGAGCTCCGGGCTCCGAGCAGGAAAGGACTCTTTCTGTGCTCGGCCCGGGCTCGGGAGCAGCTGGTGTTATCAGGCACCTTTCACATTTCGTGCAAAGGAACCCAAAAAGGAGCCTGCAAGGGCTGGAAGTTTCAACGCTTTCCATTAGCAGAGGGCGTGAAGACTTGGAATTAATACATGGGACACTAGAAAAGGGAAAATAATAGAGGCATTCGGGGGAGAAAATGTGGTGATGTAACATTCTTCTTGGCAGCAAGCAGAGGTCAGTAGGAGGTTGCTGCCTTTATTTTTCAACAGATATAAAATATACAAAATCATTATGTTGGGGATAGGTGCCCATTTAAGACGAAAAGCTACTAGTTTGGCACGTTAGTGTCATCTTATCATGTTTCATTTGTTTTCCTGCATTATGTTCAACCCTAGCGCCAGCGCTTACTTCTGATTTTCGGTTTCTATGTCCTTTCCAACATATCTCCACCTACAAAAACATACAGGCAATTCTTTAAAGCGCAACCCCGATGGGCACCTGGCCTTTATCTGCATGTTTATGCACTTGTGGAGCAACAGTTTACATCAGGAACCAAAGATTAAATTACCCCATCTTTTGTGATGGGGTAAAAACATGGAACTGGTAAAAGACACTGCAAACAAGCAAATATTTACGAGTACTGTATCCGGCTCAAAATGGCAGTCCTTAAGGCTAATAATTGTGATACACCAAACAAGGAAATGTGAAAAAACAGGTTTTCACTACACGTTACTAAAACTGAAGAGAGCAACAATTTGATTTCAGAAATACTTGCAAGGGAACGTAATTTTTGTGTAGAATCCAAGAAACAAAATTAGACTGGAATATGGCGCTTGGAAAAATAGCACATTAGCATCACTCCCCTATTTCCCCCTGTTTATTCCCAAGAAACACATTTGTCACATAACTCAAAAGGAGATTAAAGATAACGGCAACTAGCCAGAATAATAAAGAGAAAACATGTTACTCTAGTTGGAAATTGTCTCATGGTGAGCTATTGTTAGTACAAAGAAAATGCTTTGAGTTTTGATGTATCTTTATACAGTATCTTACAAATTAATGAACAGGCTGTATCATGTTTTTTATTCACTTAGGGTAACGAGAGCATCAACACACTGTACAATTCAGAAGCTGTTTGATGTACAGTAACAGTGCATGTTCCTGTGTGGATATACTTGTGGTCTTTGTTTTTATTTTTCTGAATAAAAGGCACTATCTATTATTCTGCAAGTGACTGTTTTACATTTTACACTTCTTTTCTCCAAATCATAACAGCCCAATATGGAACCAAAGGAAAAAACACTTCAGCGCTGACAAATTCCCTTCAAAATTAAATAATTCCACTTATTTTCTCCCTTAACATCTCTGAAACAGGGGCATTTGATTTCGAAATGACAAGTCTTTAATTGCTACTTAATAGACTGCTGTTTAATTCTTCTTAAAATGTTTTGTGGAAAAACAAATCTGCTAATTGAGTGATATATATCATGTATCCGCAATGTAGTGAAGGGACATCTTCCAGTGTGCAAGTTTACAAGTTCACAGTCCCCTAACTATCCCAAACATGCCCTCTAATTTCCCCTGGGAGAATTCTTCTGCTTCTAGATGCGTTTACAAACTTCACCCGAAAGCTAAAATAAAATGTATGCTTACAAAACAGCATTTAGTGGACAGAAATCCGAATCACACAACCTCACACGGGGCCTTGATTGACATTTAATTGAGCATTTCAAGAGCCAAAAGGATACATTGTGCGCAGAGCAGTTACACTACTGGAATTGTGCTAAAACAACACGCACTAAAATACAGCGACCATATGAACTGTGTGATCCACTATGGCTGGCTCATAAATTAGTACAGATCTGCGGGCGTGAACAGCTGTCTGTGTCCTGCCGTGTGATGTTTATGTGGAAAACTAGATTTCTGCGGCTGCGATTTTGTGTTTTATTTGTACCATGAAGCACATGTGTTGTCTTTTGTAATAGGACGCTGCTGTCGTATTGTGAAATGTGTGTAACACTGGCTGGATTTTTTTTTTATTGTCTAGTATTATGTCATTCGAGAGCAGTGTAACTGTAGGGTTCGTGCGATGGTGGTTAAACGCTCTGTCTGTAAGGATGGGAACTAGATGGAGACGGATATTCTCCTTTTTTTACAGTTATATTTCCACCTGCTGCGTTCTCCCTCTCCCTGATCTTTTTCCTAACCACTTTATACCATATAACCAATCAGAAAGCAAAGAAAGGTTTACCTTAATGCACACATCAGTAACAGATAATTCTATACAATTCAAAATACTTAAAAAGGCGTAACTGAATAAAACATCAGTAACACAAGACATAAGGTTACAGTTGCTTCTGTGGGGGTGCGGGTAGTCACCGGAGAGAAGGCGCATTAAATAAAACGAGCCATAGAAAAGACGGCCACTCCGCATAAACTCTCCATTAGCGCACCGCTAGCTGACCCGGCTGCAGTACTGTCCTATTACCAAGCCTCCTCGAGTTGAAGCGAGCTCTGCATCCGTGACTTCAAATACGTGAAGATAACATTTGTTGGAAACGGAGACAGAAGTGTCGTTACTTCCAGATTATTCGTGTTTTTCCAAGAGGTAACAAAGTTAGGGCCAACTTCACAGAGGAACGTTTTAAAGCACAGACTGTGTGTCGGTTCTAATTATCACAGAACCTTTTTTACCAGCTATTTGATGAGTAATTATTTAAATATAACGAATGACATAATTTACATTGTTTTTTTGCATTGTTGTTAAATGATTTACCAAACGGCAAAATAGCTACAAAATTAAGCGATGTGCGTGTACAAATACATCGTTATGATCATTACGTGTATTATTTAAATATAATTAATTATGAGAAATGGTTATGATTTAAATATACATCGTAAAGTTAAAGTACCTTTTAAAAAATAAAACACTAAGAACATTATACACAATTGTAGGTGCAATTATTGAATAGTGTGGTTTAAAAAAAATCCGTAACAGGTATTTTGCAGATATTGTTTCTGCAAAAGGCAGTTACTGACTGATTAAACTATCAGCGCAATAACCCACTGACACAATCTGTTGCTCGTTGTCTCATAATAGTTTGATTACTTCAGGAAAAAATGCAGCGAATGGTTGCAATTGGCGAAGCGTGAAATTACCACTGCTCACAGAAGCAATTTATCTGTGTTTCTCAAGGGGAGGCGCTGACCTGCTGGGCTGGGGCGGGTGGTGTCTGTGCTGTCTCAGGTTTTTTCGTTTTTGCCTGTGGAGTAAACTGGGTCCGTGTGTGAATCAATTATCCCTACGTGAGAATTTGTTCCTAAATGAGGAGTATTTAATGCACAGACATAATGCGAAATTAAATGCTAATTTCCAAATGGTCAAGGGTCTTGTATTAATACCAAGCAGTGATACACTGGTACTGTAGGTATTCACACATTAAAAAAGACAAAAAAAATGGTTTTTAAGTCGTATATGTTTCAGATACACAGCTGATTCATCTTTGAGACAACGGTCATGTACTAATGTTATTAAATTGTACCTAGAATCATAGTTAAATCCTTAATAAAAACGTTTATAGTTTTTGTCATTTTATTTCATTATAAGTTATGGTTAATACAAAATCTGTAATTTATACATGTGTAAATATCTGTGTACTGTAAGTACATGCGCAAATAATTATAATAATAATTACTTTAACTTATATAGTGCTTTTTTTTCGGACACTCCACTCAAACTTTACATTTTTGTGACGTCTCTACGGGCCCTCTTGACATTTTTCATCGTGAGCCTACCTTTTATTTCTGACCTCTGTCTAAACCCCATTCTAGATTTAACTGTGCACTGTACTGAAAAAAAAAGCAGTGCGGTGTGCTGTAGGAAAAAAAACCTTCCATGATGTTCCTCCGGAGTGTTTTGAGATACTAAATGAGCCGAGGGCATGCTTTGGCGTGGTTTAGGATTAAACGTTTTCACTGTTCTCGGCTCCCAAGGAAAGTGAACTGCTAACCCTTTTCTATAAGGGTTCCTATAGTACTTGCGGTAGAGATTTCCAGACGAGGCATGCACGCTGAGCCACACATAAAAGGACTGCGCTGCGTCTTTTTCCCTGATGCATTTGCTGATTACATACTGTACCACTCAGCTCCCTGTCATCTCAGCCAGGCTAAGGTGGTATGAAGAGCTCCTTCATGGAGCTTTTTGTTGGTGTTTTCCTCCCTCTTGAACTCTGCTCACAGTTCACCAGTAAAACAGCCCGGTCCACAGATGTCCCAAGGGCATCGAAGGCTCCATTTTGCCCCTTTCTCCCGATAAAAGAAGAAGCGCCTTATTAAATTACGGAGAACAAAAATGTTTTGCGAGAACGCTTGTACCCTTAGGATGGGAAATCTGTGAGTCTCGGCCTGACCTTTGTCATCAGGGTTGGAGTTTGAACTCGAGTTTACCGCTACAGGCCAGTTATTGATCCCACATGGGATACTTTTCAGCTTGGATTTAATCATGAGATTTTACATGTCACAGTCGTTCCCAATAAACTGCGCTGCGGAGAGAAGAGACGCTGAACATTAACTGACTGATCTCACAGTCTGTGGAAACGTGCTTGCTTCCTAATTAGTCGAAATCGCTCTGTTTCCAGTTGCCTTTCTCATGTTGATTTGGCTAAATTAGTTTTAGCTGCTTGGATTTTTATTTTTTTAGATCTTCCCCTTCTAAAAGGTTTAAATCGGCCTTCTGTCACCTTAAAACCGAGTTTGAATTTCAAACTGCTATTTCCACTCTTGTAGTGTAGGGGTCGCCAGTGAGCTGCTTTCAAGACAAGTCTCCGCAGATGAGAGGGCAATTAATGTTCTGTTAACTGAATCTCCGTGGAAATGCCGAAGAGATAAAATACAAGTGGGATTTAACAAATAAATAGTTGCCCTTCTATTTTAGAGATGTATTAACGCATTGTTGATTATTTACAAACTGCGCGGCTGAATGATTATATCGGTGGTAAGTTTAAATTCAACTTGGCTAGTGTGTTAGTAATCTTCAGGTGCATGACGATTCATGGTGTCTTCTTAAATATGAGTTTTCCCATTCATAGGACAGTTAATGAGTTCTTTTAGACGGAATTGTTTTAGAAATATTGCTACATTGGCAAATAAGGTGGCTAGTCTGTGTAGTAATGAGCAGTCAAAAGTCAACTTGTTCCTACACAGCGTGAGATGTTAAAACAAGACTTTGATCTGCATTCTCACTGATGTCCAAAACCTTATTTTCCAACTCTCTTAATTTGATAGTCCGTGTCAAAATGAGTATTTTGCACAATTAGGGTTTTCACTGTTTAATAGAAAATTGTGCATTTAGCTGCTTGTTTGAGTCTTTTTTTCGTTTCATCAAAGCAGTAATACTAGCAATAGTACTGATATCAATAGTGTAGCTTAAGTAATAGTAGTTTCGCGTCCTTAACTGGCAGCTGGCTGTATGTATTGAAAATCGCCCATTCTAAGTAGTCTGACCTTCACATACAGTTTTAGAAATGAATTCTGGTAGTGAGGTTTTAGGAAGTACTTAATCAAAAAATGATACAAGTTTGTTATTTCCAAGTGGGTGTTTTGTGGAAATTAAGCCACCCAAGCCTCTTACTAACACAACTCAGATGAAATAAGGACACATTCAGTAGCTTGTGCTAGAATAATGGTGTCATTTGTCTGTGTAAGAAAACACACTACAGGGGAACAATTACACATTTGAAAAGCTACACTTGGGGCATGTAGTGTCTGATTCCTTCGCAGAGTAAATGAGGAATTATTAGTCTTTGGTGATGAAAATGTGGCAGCTTGCCTTGCGTTTTCTAAAACAGCATAGCAATCAGTTAATTGAATAATGACTTTGACAAGCAGCAGCATCCTTCATTCTGTCGCAGATGTTAATGATAACCAGCTGTGACACTCGTGACACGTTACTGTTTATACGGTTCTCTTCCCATGAGACAACAGGCCGCCCAGAAAATAAACTGGCTGGCACTTGCAAATGTCCTGTTTTCTGCATAGCTGTGAATGGGGATCCAACAGTTCATTCTGCTTTGATCATAACATATCTCAGTTTAAGATGGCTGGAAGCATGCTCCCAGCCAAGCAAGAGCAAAACTGTCCTGTAATGGTATCTTTTCAGTGGTGATCTGTGCAAAAGGAAACCGCCTGGTATTGTGTCAGATTTGTTATGTTGTTAAATAGAGAATCTATTAATATAACATTATGTACAGCTGTGCAGATATCAACAGTTGGTTTACACTGGAATGAACGTGTGATTTTGTTGTTCTTAAAAACTGCCAAAAAATTCAAAAGAAAATATTTAATATGGTTCACATTAGGTAAATAAAAGCTGGTTTTGTGATGCTCCAACAATTCCATAATTAACGATGGTATTTAGCACATTCTCCTCCTCCTTCCTTAACTAGAAACAGGATTAAGCATTTCTGGTAGTTTTATAAAAGTGTTAACAAACTGCACTCTAGTTGAGCAAACACATACTCAACCTTCTACACTTCATAGTAAGGACATTGCCCCGGCTGTTATCTATATGACCAAGCAAAGTAAAGTGATCATTCTAATGACTATTTTTGTAACCTCTTTAGTGTTTGTGAGTTTTGTTTTTCTATTAGACAGTTCATTTTTTCTGCATGCATTGTTTCTTTTGGAATCACAGTGGGGCACTTTATATATTTGAAGTCAGTAATCTCACCGCTAAGTTACAACTTTTAACAGCCCCCCGCTCATAAATGACCTTTTTATGCTTCAGAAAAGAATGAAAGTACAAAGCAGAAATGACAGCAAGGAAAGACCATAAAGCTTATAACTGTGCTGATAAAGCCATGACTTTGTTTGGCTAAGCTTCTTTTCAACTGAGCTTTTACAAATGTAAATACCACAGCAATGTCAGTTTTGTGGGTCTTTCCAATGTGAGGAAATTGAGACATGAATTCTGTGCACAAAAAATAATAATCCTTGAGGTAATTCTGTGTAAAAGTAATTAAATTTAATACATTTTTTTCCCTTTCTGATTCCAGTCGTTAAATGAACTGTTAGGCATTGAATGTACTTTGTAAAATGTATGCACTTTTAATGATAGCCAGCTTAATAGAAGCCAATTTTATTCGTAACATATGTTTCAATGGCTGGTATGTTGTGGTTTCGCCCTTCAAAATCCACCCATACATCCAGTATGTTATTAGTGAGTTTTATAAAGTCAGTTCAGCTAGCTCCTATTTAGCTGACCCCTTTAAGTAATGTACAGCTCGGAGTAAATTGTAGGGTGAAGCCTGCTTATCTGTCACCCAGATGTTTGGAGTCTGAAATCTCCTATGGCAGCACCTCACATTGGCAGCAGAACAGAATCTCACTGAATCAGGTTTTTTAAGTCTCGCTCTGCTTTTGAAAGAAGTCATTTTGACTAGCTCACAGGTCTGATCACGTGTTGTCTGGAGTAAACAAACGGACATTTCTAACACGGGTACCTTACTGTCCCCGCCATTTGTATCCCTCTTGCGTATAGCGTATGCGAGACACCAGTGAACGCACTGATGAGAAAGAGGAGCAAACAAAATTGAGGTCAGTGAAGTCTGAGCCATATAGCATGTTTCTAGTGATGGAGGAACATTTGGAACTGGAACCAGTAATAGGATATTTTAGTTACGTAACTGTGTTGAGAATCCCACACAAAAATAACCTAAGGAAGTCTCCACAAATGTCCCAATTCTGTTTAGAAGCCTTTTTATAGAGCATGAAAAAATTTCTGTAGGGTATTTAACTGTCACAGATTTAACTGTGCTTTTCTATATAGTTAAATAACTGTGAACATGTTTTTTTACCTGTTGTACAACATGTGGTAGTTTTTCTGCAGTTTTTCATCTCTTACACAATATATTTACAAATGCTTTGTCACAATATATTGTTTATAGTAGCGTGGCTTATAGGGTAACAATCCTGCTGACATGAAATGAAAACCTCTATAATATTAAGAGAGATTTATTGCAGATGAGTGAATGCTATGCTTGTAATGCACAATTCCTAATGGAACTGTGTCATATAAACACTGGGAGGTGTTAAAGGATATACCCAAACATAATTTAGATCCCAATTCTTCTGTTGAATCCAAGGTCCAAACTTATTTTGCCTTCACATATTGCATGTTTTTAATATCTTTTCACGACAAAAAAGGGTGTGTCTGATAGTGTTTTCTAGAGCATGTAAGGAAACAGTACTCAACAGGTTTACCACACTGTTCCAGAAAGGTATCTTCAGCTATCACGAATTGGTTCCTCAGTGAGTTGGCAATAAACAATCATGATTTGTTATTTTGGCCACACTCTTAACATTTGATTCAAACCACTGTATCATTTTTTTAGTCTGGTTATATCTGATTTGTGTGTGTGTGTGTAGCAGATGTGCCCAGAGAAAATAAACAAGGTTTTCTGTCAGAAACATTGTGAGCTTCATCCTTCCTTTTTGTCCATCATGCTACTGGTTGCACAGAACACTGAAGCCACATACAAATGATGCAGTACAGGCCTCATTAAGCTTAATTGGTTCTCATTTTGAAGGGAGTGCCATACAAGTTTAAAATTTCATATAAGCAAGGAAAGTTGCAGCGTAAATCACTGGAGTGAGCCAACAGGAAAGGAAAAAATAACCAGTGTGTGCTGGACCTGCTGTTCTGTAGTCTGTCAGCTGCATATCATTCCTCACTGGGCTTGACTTTTAGCGGAGGTGGGGGGCAGTGATGAGGAGGGGAGTTTAAAAGCCCATGGTACTCAAAAACGTCCTGTAGGCAGACTGTGCTTTGATACTGTGTATCATATTTGATGTCAGTACCTCTACCGGAAAGTTAACCAGACACAAATGTGCCTTCTTTCCAAAGTATCCTCCTTTTTTGTCTGCTGCAGTTGTTTGGCATTAGAAATCATATACTGTACCCTCAGATTGAGCTATTTTGAAAATATGGTGCATTTTTTTTATTTAGCAGCTTGCCTGAATCACTAAGCCAAACCAAAATGTTGCATGTTCAAGGGAAATGGTCTTTTTTTGTAGGGGGGGTACCACACTGTGTGTTAATACCCCCCCTACGGTACTTTAAATCGCAGTCCTTTGTGAAGCCCCTGTTAATACTGTGAATCCAAGACTGTGGCCTTTTAAAAAAACTTACATCTCATACGCCAGCCTCAAAGGAAGGGTTTTTTTCCTGTCACTGAGTTAAGCTGCCTGTCTTTTTGCAATGGTTGTGGTAGAGCGGGCAGGGTGAGTGTGTTGCAGCAGAAAGGTACACTTGTCTTCTGATTTAAATGCTTCACATCAACAGCTTTTGACCCACTTCTCCACAGTCCCACTGCGAAGGGTTTTCAGTATCATCTACCAGTCTGTTGTTCTCCCCACCACCACCACCACTTTTTTGCAGGATGAGCCGGGAAGCTATAGCAGAGGGCATGGGGGGATGGAGGTGGGGGTGTGGTAAAAATAATCCGTGAGCTGGGCTCTAGACCAGGGGTTCCCAGTGTGAGGGCTCACACACCTGCTGCTTTTCATTCTTGCTGAGCTTCATTACCTAATTGAGCTAACGAGTTGCTTGGCTGGGATATTTGCAAGTTTTTTTTTTCTACTCTGAAGTTTATTTTACTTTGTTTTAAAGGGTGACCGCCAACATGTTCAAGGGCTGAAAACGAACAGTTCAAATTAATAAATTATTGAGTCAGTTAAGGGCTCAATTGCGTAACTGAGAACTTGGTGGGTACCTCCAGGACCAGGGCTGGGCTACAGTTCTGATGTTGATACTGTTGATACACAGGTCGGCAGAAGTTGGCAAGATGAGGTTTCAACTTCCTACAGAACTTTCATTTAAACTTCATTCTTTATGGGTCTCACTTTGTCTTTCTGTCAGCATTGGTAATAGGACCAGATGTAAAATGTGTTGCAAAATATCTTCACCTTCAGTTTGAGGGTACCTCTGCTCTCTGTATTGTAAATTCTGATTTTATTCACGTCATTTCTTGCAGACAGTTAGCCATTGGCTGCTTTTAGATGCTGTGAGGCTATTTGTATGTGACGAGAGTACACATCTAATACTTGTAATTTTGTATCTGTAGTTTACTTCCTGATGAGCAAGGCCAGGGGTGTACAGCTTGCAGTGTCTGCATGTTTGCATTCCAATTCTGTCTGAGTTCTCCATTACCTAAATTTATATAATTAAGGGCTTAACATGACTAATATAACACTTTTCCCTTATTCCTTTGTCACTAGAGATTTAGAGAGATCATAAGTGTCTATGTTGTATCAACATAAGTATTCCAATAAGGACGGAGCTGCGGGAGAAAGGGCGCTATAGAGGATCGCTGTGTAGAGCTGCTGCTGTGCTTTGACATCTGAGCTCTGTGGAAAATGATCTCAATACAATTCTGAAATTCATTTTGCATAAAAGGAAGCAAATACAAATCTATGTGTCTGCTATACCTTATCCAAATGTATCATGCAGGGCTTGATGCAGATTATTCCAGAGAAGGAATATGAAGTGTATGTACTGTATATATATACCCAGGGTGTGAAATTACTAAAAGAAGATTTGTACTGTTCTACTGTGTTTAAGGTCACTGATGTTAATGAGCTTGGTTTTCGGCAGATGTATCACACAATCTTATTTCATCATGACCTCCACTCTAATGTTTCTTGAAGGGCGCTTTTAGAGCCAGGTACAATCCTTCATGTTCTTCTGTCAGCTGGAAAATCGCCTGTTGAGTTGTCTTGAGTTGCCACAGGGTAAGCAATAAGCTCCTAAAATACACAGTGGCACAGTGCCCAGCAATTAGATCACACTCTGGCGGACAGCTCACCTCTACCGAAACCTGACAGGAGGGTACAGGCTCTCTGGGAAACAGAAGTAGGGCGAGAAGATCACCAACAGCTGTCCTCTGGAAATGCAATAGCTCTTAAAGCACTGCATGTGTCATTCAGAGGCAGGCTGGCAATTCCTTCCAAGTTAAGCGAGTGTGATCCATAAGAATGGCCAACTCAATCCATCTTCTGTCTAGTGATACCCTGCAATTTAAACTACTTTAAAAACCCTTCACATGCAAGCTGTGATGTGTGGCCAAGTCTTCCACAATCTGTTACAGATGAGTAGCCCAGTACTTTGTGATATGTTGACTTGTATTTGCACTGAAAGTCCTCACACAGGCCATTTGTTGCAGTGCGAGTGTCAGATTTTACAGGAGCCCAGTCCCCAGGAAGCAATTGAAGAAAGGTTATTTAAAATGGCTTTTAAATCTGAATATTGGCTCGATACTTACTCTTTTTTCCCTTTAAAATAGTCATACTGTATGTCATGGGAATGTATTAAGTTTTTGGTCCGCACTACCATAACATTTCAGGTGACAGTTTGAAAAAAGAATCAGAGTACATTTTTTGGTGAACTGTGCTTAAGAGAGATGTTAACAATGATTAATATTTTCACTTCCCAGTGAGTTTTTTTACTGGAACAAAAGTATGAGAGTCAAAGTATGGCCACCTCTGGGATGAAAATCTGCAGCCGTTTAACATTGTCAGAAACCGGACCAGAAGAAAACAAAAACCTTACAAGATAGGCTTGAACAGCCACTTGTGTTTCATTCTTAGTGTGCATTCTCATTATTGCAGGATCACCAATTTGCTGTATTTTCAGTCGTGTTTGGGAAAATACACCATGACGCAGCACGTCAGGTCTTACTGCTGGCTGCATGGATTACTGGTGTCGGACCCCATCGCTGGCACAGCTGGGGAGCAAGCCCCTTCGTCCCCTCCTGCTGCCCTTCCCCGAAACCCTCTGGTACCCGATGGGCTTCCCAGATGTCCGTGTCAGAAGTGCAGAAGGACGTTGGAATGGCTGGAAACAACACCGGCGGGGCACCTCGTGGGCCTCCCCCTGGGTGACCTGGAGAGAGAGCCCTGGAGCTGGGGAGACAGGATCCTGCTCCACACCCTCCTTGCCTTCACAGGTCCTCAGCACACCACTGTTTCATTCTGAGATCGTCAAGATCAAACGAAGACTGAAAACGGACGATTTTGTTTTGCGGTCTCTTCTAAAGGCATTGGTCAAGTTAATGATTATTTGGCAGAAAAACTTCATTAATTGAAGGGATTTAATCTAAATGGTTTTTTTTTTTTATTATTGGGCCCAAGCAAGAATGTCCCTGATGGACTTACACAGGAAGTCACATTACTGGTACATTTTGGAGCACCTTGTCAGAACTGAGCCGTGAGCACATTCTTGTTTTCTGTCATTTGAAATTTTTACATGATACTTTTAACAAACACGTTTTCTGTTTTCCCTTTTGTTATCTTTGTATCTGCGGGTGTTATGTTTCTCAAAACAAATGACTTATGAAAAGATTTATCTCAAGAAAAGAAGAGGGGCAATAAGATTATTAGCACCATCTACCACTGTGGGGGAGTGGAGCATTCTGTCCCAAAAATGTCCTTAAACTCTTTTGAAAGAGCCAGCGGCTCTGTGTATGGTTAATTATTTTTTCTAAACTGTCTGAGATATTCCTAAATAAATGTTTCAGATATTTTCTGAGTGGCAAGAAGACGACATTGTCGACGGGCTGCAGGTTTGCCCTGTGTACGTGAGGAACAGCTGACGGTATTTCACAGATTTGGTGAGGCTGAAATGATTTATCTGTCCGCAGGAAAAAAAAAAAACCGGGATCTTGATTTCTATATCCTGTGAGAGCCAGGGCATAACGAGGAGAGGAAAGAAGTGATAGACCAGCTTTCCTGCTCAGGCCGGCTGCTGGGGGACACTCCCAGCTCTGCCTGGCTTGTTTGGCAGGTGATAAGCCCGACATCGGGCACTCAGCCAGCCTGGAGAGGGGAGAGTGGAGGGCCAGGCAGCGCGGGGCTCTTCCGGGAATCCTGCGGCTCGGGTTTCACTCCAGACGGACTGATGGCCCAACTTCTGCCTCAGAGCCCTACATACAGTAACTTCTTTCTACAAATAAGCAAAGCATGGAAGAAAAACATCAGCAATGTGCGAGATGTGAAATATAAAGCTTTTTAACCAGATTTTTATACTGCCTCGTTATGCGTCTGATTGTCTGTTTTTATTCCTTACCAGTGCATTTGAATTAAACAGAATCACTAATATGTTGGAGGTTTTTTGTGTTAAATATGGTACCGCTTTGTTCTAACAAAACTCATTTCTCACAATGCAAATCATATTTTGCTACAAATTTCTTTCTCCAGAACGTGAATTCCAGACAAAATGAATAGTTCTTGGAAAAGATTACTTATCATTATTTGCAAGATTGTTTCTGAGAACTGACATTACTTATAAAAACCAAAACCAAACTGCATTTCTCCCTGTTTTTTAGATAAGATGAGAAATGTACATGGAGTTTCTTTTAAAGCTTTATAGTTATCATATTGTTAACAAACCTTTATTTATATAACAAATTGTATATGTCTTGCATTGATTATGTTCATGTGCCTTATAAATCTTTACATTTTCCTTTTATTGTCTTTGCTGAAATGAAAATGAAAATCAGAGTCCCTATCCTGCAAGTTTTACAGATGGCAACTAAATCGTTTCTAAAGACCTGGAACAATTTAAACTGTGATCTGACAGGTATCTTGTGAAATTATGTAATTTTATACATTTTCCAGATGATTTAAACAATTAAACGTCTTGCAAAAATGTAACTGCAATCAAATTAAATAGGTGATAGGTTAAATGAGATCATTTGGAATGAATGTCGGAATAGCCTTCATCCTTCAAAGACCAGAGTTCCCTTTAATTGAACAAATTATTTCCTTTACTGATAACAAACTTTCAATTGTTTCTAATCATTAAGAAAACTTGATTTAGGGTGACCTATAAGGTCAAGTCCAGGACCAGAGCTGGAGACCCCTGGATGAAAGTGTTTATTTTCAAACCTATTCCAAAGGTTTTTTTTTTGCTCTTGTCAATAAATCACATAAAAAACTTTAAATTGGAGAATTCAGTGTAACAGCAGTAACTAGTTTGAGGTTTACTGTTATTCCCTTGGACATGATAGGTTAAATGATGATGGAAGCTCTTAAAGGTTCTCTGCTGGATGGTAGTATTTCAAGAGCTGCTCTAGACACACACTTTGTCTTTGTCTCTGACTCTCTGAAGCTGCCACTCGGAGATGCCCAGAAAATAACAAGCCCCATAGGGGAATAAATACAATTGCTGTTTGTTCCACGCTATCATGTGCAGTAACTGCTTTTGCGTAGAGATTTGCTTTTACAGTGTGCTAACAGGAGATGTGCTACATGAAATGTATGATTAGCTAATGCTGGAGGCCATCAAAGCTTTCCACATGCATAGCTGTTGATGTTATTAATCTCAAAGTAAGAATCTGCGCTTAGGAAGGCTTGACAAGAATTATCTAACACTTAAATGTTCAGATGGAGGATTTGTATAGTTTAATACAATCCTTTTTTTACAATCTCCAGATACACCTTTATCACCACAGTATGAATGGTGGTGTAATTTTACACCATTTGTTTCCTTCTGCATCAGTTTTTTGCAGGTTCACAGAATTGTGACATGCTATGGCAAGAAAAACCTGTACAAATAGTTAATTTTTACATTCTTCCAATTACTGGCTTTGTAGGGGAAAAATGTAACTAAGCCTTTGAAATTAAACAGTTGTATGTGCTGCTAGTTTGCTTTTCCTGTATCTTTATTCATGTGCAACTATGGTAATACAATTTCACTTTGGGGAGATTCCCAGTAAAACAACAGAATATTTAGATTAATTGTATGCCTTTGCAGACAAGTTTAATCCCAATGCTCCAATGTGCATTGGACAGCTTGTATGAAGGAAAATGAAATCTTTCCCTCTGACATAATCCCGTCTTTGTGAACTGATGTCAAGTGATTAGGATCTCCTGGGCAGATGCTTATTTTCACATTTTGCCCATACTGGGATCAGTGGATACCCGCAAAAATAAGCAGAAATGTTTTCTTTCAAGAGAGAGTCCGAGTGTCCGCAGCACATATTTACTTTTCTCTGACCAGTAATTTTATTTTTTTTAATCCACTACATCAATTAGGAGTACCACAGCACAACAGGAAATCATTTACATGCAGTTTAACCCAAACGTAGCAGCTAAAGCTTTGTCGAGATCTTAACATTATCAATACCATTTCTCCTTCTCCTCCTGGTTATGATTAATTGCACAATGAGGTGAAATTGAAGTGCTCTTTATGCTGTGTGTCTCCTAACAAAAATCCTTTGCCACATCGAGTTCCTTGTCACCAGAGCCCTGCGACTTTGCCTGTTCCTCGGACTGACACCGCGCTTCTCCATCAATCTGCATGTGCTTCATTGTGCCGGCGAAAGTGCCTTTCGAGAAGAGATAAGTTCAAGTTTGTTTATTTTCCTTCTTGCTATTCAAAACATTGGGAGTTATTAATACAAGCAGACAGCGCTTGCTGTTCCCTTTAGAGAGAGGAAGCGCGCCTCGGGGCCACACCACCACAGCACGAAGGAATAAATCTTCTTAATTGTTTTCAAGACACTAACCAAAATAAACTGTTCTTAAGTACATTGTAATAAAGCAACATGATTGGAGGGAAATGGCCATTAGCATAAGTTTATTATCGCTGATCTCAGTGACAGAGGAAACAGATAGGGGAATGGTACTTGCTAATGTTTCCTTGTTTGACTCTAGGAATCTGAAGCAGCTTGTCCTGTATTGGATCCTGTTTGCAATTCTGTCGTGTTTTTGGACATTTGGCTTAATATGGTAGGACTCTGAAACTGTACAGCAAAGCCTTTTAGAGGCTGATTTTAAAGTTGTTGTTTTTTTCCCAGGGGCACCTGGAGTGTCCCAGTGAGTCATAGAGCTAGTCTAAAACAATCGTTCCCATTCATTGAAAGCACCTGCAAGGTATTGCTCAGTTACAGTAAGTAAGTACTGTTTAATTTAGGGGTCTCTGGTCCTTGAGGTATTTGGGTGTTTGCTCCAGATGATCTCTATAACTTATTTTGACAAATCATCTGCTTAATTTATGACAGTTAAATAGTTGGAATACTTTAGAAATAATTGAATTTGAGGCTAGAAAGATGGTCCCTTTAAAATCTACCAAACTGGAGATCTTCCAATATCCAAGCCAAAGACCCCTGGTTCAGATAAATGTTTGGTGCTTTTGAACTGGAATAAAATAGGATTCTTCAACGAATATTCAGAAGGACAATCCATTCTTTTGTCATGACTGCACAGTGGTTTCAACCTCACAACATGTTAACATTTGAATTTTCACTTTAGGGACAATGTCCAATTCCTTGTTTTGCCCAAGGAAAGATGGCCATCTACTCTTTTTCTAGGAAGGAATTGAATATCATGAGCCAATGTGCTGAAATCACTTACCCAAATAATCTGAAGTTGGAGAGTAAAGACGTAAAGAGTAAAGCCCTCGATCACGCCTGATAAAGCATCAATAACACCTGTGAGAGCAGACACCGACCAATTGTCTTTGAGGAGCAGCTCGCTCCCCAGAGATTTCTGGGATATGTGCCCAGAAAGGTCCTGAGGTCTGAACTATCTCACATTTCTCCTTCCTGCATGTGACAGTCCTTGCAGTGGTACTTTAGCTCATTCTACGTAGGAAAGGGAAAGACTACCCTTCTCTTCATGGCCAGATTCTTGCTCCTTTGATCAAGCAGGTTAAATTTCCAGCTGCTGCCCCACTTAGCTACCCGGTACCACTGGGCTTGTATGAAGCTATTGAAATATCATAACACAGACAAGGTGCTCAAAGTGTTGTAAAGCCAACTCTGCTTTGTTTCTCAAACTTGCTCTCATGAAAAACCATCATGGTTACCGTGGACTAGCTTCAAACGCAAAGTGTTTAAGTGAGTTATGTTAAGCCATTCATTTATAAATCTTTTTAAAAATGCACATCACAAAATGGGAGCATTTGAACCTCGTCTTGGCTTCCTTTTGGCTGAGCATCGAGATAACCATTTAAATTGGGTAAATCATATGACAGGGTGTAAAATATGGTCAAATATTACATTTAACATGGCTGCACAGTGGCACAGTGATTAGCTTTCTGCTTTGCAGTACTAGGGCCCTAGCTTCAGTGCTGGACCTGGGGTGCTATCAGCATGGAGTTTCTGTTTTCATTCCATGCTCTCCTGGCTTTCCTCAAAGTGCCCCTTTTTCCTCTAGTCTAAAGATGTACAGGTAGGTTAACTGGCTTCTGGGAGAGCTGGACCTGGTGTGTGTCTGTGTTATTGTCTGCGTGCACCCTTGAAGCAGCTCCCTAAATCATTCCTCACAAATGGGGGAGGGGAGGGTTTGGTCAACCTCATTCCTTACAACAGTCAGGCTGCTCTTCACTCAGTGAGGTGAGTTACTTCAAATACTCTCTAATACATTTGTCCCTCTATCACATTCTTTAGGATCTGACCCAACTACTGAAATAGCAAAAGTTAGCTAACTAAATATACAACTAAAAAGTAAAGTGTGTGTGCATATATACTGCATATCTTGTGCTGCACTAAATACATTGTAAAACAAACATTGGTGCTGCGTAAAATGGCCCATGATACACAGTTTTTTTTTCTGAAACATAAAATCTCCAGAGGCAGGAATTTCAATAGAGTTCTCATTCAATGTTGATGTAATAATAATTCACTGCATTTTCCAAACAATGTGTGCAGGAGTCAGGTTAAAAAATACACATTTTTAATGTTCTTTTCATGCAGATTGTAGACAAAAAAAATCTCAGGTGATTTTGTTCTGTGATTTAACTGTGATTAACAATTAGAGACCAGTGTAGTGCAGAAAAACGTCACACGTGACATGTTTGGGTGGATCTTGAGCTCAATTTCTGGATGTATGTGAGTGCTCTAAAAAGCCATTTGCAATGCCTTGAGCGGGGGGGATTTAAGATAATTCTATAAACATCATATAACATATAAACATTTTATTAATTGGATTGGATTTGGAACATATATTGAAAGAGTACTCAATATGGAATTTGTACTGTAAAATATCAGCTTCCACTCATTCAGTAGAACACAGTGCTCCACTGTAGCTACAGGTGCTTTGGCATTCTTCACGAGGTTCATTAATGTCTATTTGGAAATGGGAAGTTTGGCATAACAGGGGCTGTGGTTAAAGTAGACGTTTTATTGGAGTTTTTTTCTGAATAATACTTACTGCTTCCCTTGTGAAACTGGTCTCCAGTTACTCCCTTCTCATTCTAAACTTATCAAAATATTTTTTTTTCTTTATGGGGAATGGGGAGGGCATAGAAATATTAAATTTGGCCACTTAGTAGTCAACTATTTGTCTTGTTTGCATGCCCCCTTAACAAATTGAATTTTTAGAGAATATGACATTGGTAAAGTATCTTTGCTTTTTTTGCATTCCTACACCAGAAAGTGTGTGAGGAGGTTTGATAGGAATTAATCAAATAACTTTTCCATTTAATACACTTTAATATTGTGTGGAGATTAATGCTTATTGTAGTATGGCAGTAAAAATCTATGTATTCAATACATACAACTGGGTTTTTATTCAGAAAGGTCTGTTAATAAAGGGAGCAAATTGCATTGTAATAAGGTTTCACTAGGGGGAGCAGTGAGGTCCTGGAATAACCAGTCATTGTTGGTACTGTATTCACGAAATGAAAACTTAAAGCAGATTTATTCATTTCCTCCACACTTCAAATTGTGTGTTTCTAAATGATCCCTTTTTGGTTCATTGTCCCAACCTGTTCAATGCCAGTTTAATTTCATTTTTTTATTTCCCTGGAAAATTATACAAATACCGTGTCTCCATGATGCTTGGGTACCATTTGAAATTATTTCACAGCAGGTAAAATCTAGTTATAAAGCCTTTCGTTTATAATGATCTATAAACATATCATTTCAACTACGTGACGCCACATACTATACCTACAATTAAGCTGCTGATGTGAACGTAAGCTATGTACTGTATGGTCAGACACAAACTATTAAATTGAACATTTTCAGAGATGATGTGCAATTAATAAATGTGTATAAATTATGTTATGTTTTAATATTATAATCACAAATATTACGGTGCCCACCACCGCACCAGCTGTGTTCACTATAACATGAGAAGCAAATTTGAGAAGGAAAGTAGTGGAGGGAGGGAGTCTACACAGCCCAGAGTTTGGGGGATTCTGACGTGGGCCTGTGGGAATACATTTGTCTCCTCTGCCCAGCATCCAGCCTACAGTCTCCCTCCAGGACCCTCGTTTTTCAATAAGTCCGCTAAATTCAACAGCTCGGGATCCTCCTGCAGTCCATAGCTGAGCTTAAAAACTAATAGCTGGGATTCCAGGTGACCTTAGCAGCAAAGGTGCCTGTGAGGTGGCTGTCTGTGAATCCGAAGCTGTGATGTAAAACAGTCCAAGAAGCACCAGGGTTAAATGGGTATGTGTGCTCATTAATGTGTTTTTGCCCAGCATTTCAAAATTATTTGCACTCTGTGCACAGATCTCATTAATATTAAAGTACATCTTGGCAATTTTTTTGTTGTATACCCAGGGTTTTTTGCTACACAATCTTTAATGGTGTAATCGCATTTCTGCATTTAGGATGTAGCAGCTACAGTATTTTTGTCCTCCATCTGATCAATGAATGGTTTCATTGGAAATGTACATTTTTTGTCCTCATAATAAGTGGTTTATCTTTGTTTCATAGTCTAAACATGTGAGAACCCAAGTCCAGACCTCCTTGATGTAAAAGAGAAAAATATATTTTAAAGATAAAAAGGACCTGCTGCGGCTCCTTTCCTGTCAGTCCACCTTTTATATTTTGGTGGTGAACGTTTTTTTTTCTTTATTTTTACTGGAATCAAAGAAAAAGCGTAGTGTGTCACATTTACCACAGAATGTTCTTGGAGACTCGGTCAAACCTGAGGGATTGAAAGGGACCATTGTTGATCTTTCAAAGGTTTTAACACATTTCGGCCTTTTTTTTCATCCAAACCTTTCAGAATCTGGATCTCCCCTGCTGGCTCTTTGATCCCGATGATGGAAGCTTGTAGGACTCTATTGGTCCCAGGAACGACAAGGTACAGGAAACAATGTTAGTCGTACAGAAAAAAACCTGAACCCAGTCAGGGTTACAAAGCTGGGACCTGAGGGAAACAAAGTAAACAAGCCCGAACAGTTGTGAGGTTGAGGCTGACTGAGGCCTAGCCCAGCAGCAAGCCCGCTACTGTCCCAGCAGGTCGACATGAATACACACAGTGAAGAGAGGACCGGGGGCAGAGGCCAGAGCTCTTTAACACTCCCATCATTCTGCTTCCACAGAAGCGCTGGAAACTTCAAGCAGCCAGACATCACCTTAGACATCCGACTTGCAGGGAGCATGAGGCACAAGACACCTGAAGAGGTTGGTTTGTGTGCGGTGGCTGAACAGAAACCTTTTCCTGATATTTTAGAACGCATATATTTATCTCCATTTTTTTTTCAGCTCAAAGCTGTCTGATTCTCATCCTTTTTTCACACTGCCCGCTTTCAAGGGAAAAAGGTCATATTCCTCATGCAGTTTCGGTGTGGGTGGCCTGCATGTTAGTTTTCATAGCAGCACTGCAGTTTGAAAGGTGGTGACTTCTGCCTCTTGCAATGATAACGTTGAAAGGCGAAAACTGCACTGGTTTGAAATGTTAACAGATTAAATCGTTAGAAGAAAACCTTACCTGTTTAGCTTTGCTAATGTCTTTCAAGCCTGCCTTGAAAGGAACAAAGTATTAATGCAACAATAAAAGCCAAGCAAAAAATGAACATGGATAAACACAGAAGTATTTATTAGCTTAACCTTGAGTGGTGTGAGTACCTTGTACATTTAATATAAAACGTCATCAACTTTATAATGTGAGCATTATAAATTGCTCTGGATAAAGATGTCTACAAAGCAAATAATCATAATACAGAGCCTAACATTTGCTATTGAAGACTGACAGTGATAGTACAGCCATAAAGGGTATAAAAAGTAAGCTGTGTTTATAGAATGTCACTTATCAACATAGAAGAACGTCTCCATACATGTTAAAAAATTTACTCTGTGCTGAAGACATCTGTCTCAGGTGAGTATTTAAGGTTCAGGCTGCAATTACATTTAAAACTGGGTTTAAACTTAACACTACAGAAATTGCATTTAGAACACTGGTGACTCATTTCCTTCTGAATTCCTAAAACCCACATTTTTTTTCTCATTTTCTTATGACTAATAAATATTAGATCCATTTTAAATCCTTTTGTATAGTAGGTTACTTTCCTTTGTGGAAAAGAATTGAAAACAGGAAATACTTCACGGTAGACTTAGTTAATTTTGTGTTTCTTTAATATGCCTGCTCTGTGCTGGGGAATGTGTTTCGTCCATCGTGTATGATATAAGTGCTTTATAAATTGTAACCCGTATTTTCTAAGTCCTTGTAACCTGAGTAAAACTAACGCACTTTTTCGCAATGTACTGTACATGTACAGCTTCTGAACTCCCAAGTTTTGTTCATGTTCAGGAAGCAGCTCACCCGTAAAACCCATATATCATTTGCCTGTCATTTTCTATGCTGTACGCTGCACTCTGACTGTTGTGTGCTGTCCACACTGACTAATTGGAGTGCAGATGTGAGGGAGAATGGAGCTGGTTCCCAGAGCTTTGGCTCAGGGTATCTTTAGTGCTAAACCATGTGAAATGAAAGGACAAGAGAAAAAGAGATGAAACCGCACAAGCTGCTTGTTACCAGCTCTGCTGTTGAAATGTGCTTCCCTGTCTTCCCGTAAGAGTGGCAAATTCCTGTTCAGATACAGCTGCAAAGGGACCTGTGTTCCCCCAGAGGTGGCGGCACTCCGCTGGCACAGCAGCACTCTGGGTAGGGCCTCTCAGTCGCTGCCAAACAGCAGCTCCTGCAGCTTCCCAGACTCCCGCAGGCCCTCCCAGCGCCTCCAAATGGCGCTAGCCCCCCTGGCCGGCGCTGCCTGCCGAAAGACGGAGGGCCATGTCAGAGGAGCCCTCTGGCTTTTCCGCATTGTCCCCAAGTGGGCTGTTGATGTGAGCCACGGTGTGAAAAAGAAACAACTGGGAGGGCTTGTAGTAAAAAAAACAACAGAAAATGTTGATTCTCCATTGATAGTAAAAAAAGGCGGACGATACTGTGTTTCTACCCTGGATGTGAATAAAATAAAATGTTTTCACTTTACCACAACGAATATTTATATGGAAATATCTTTTAAACCAGTGGTATTTTTTATTAATTATTAATAACATGTGCAATATTTCACATAGAATGCTTAGAAGGCTTCTGGATTTTGTTGTTACCCGAGAGCTGCTGGGGCTCTCGAGTGGCTGAGTGTGTGTGTGTCGGGTCCTGTAGTTCAGATATCGCCTGGCTTCTTGAGCGATGGCGCACGACTTCCTGAGCGCTGCAGAGCTGGGGTGGGAGAGAAGAGGCAAGGCTTCCCTTGGCCCGGGGGTGTAGCGCTAACCCAGGACTCTCCGGCGGCCCGTGAGGCAGCGGTGCAGTGGGCGAGGGCCAAAGCGCTCCTCTAGCTGCTGCTACTGTAACTCGCAGTGAGAGGGGTGGCAGATGGGTGTGTCGTTGGGACCCAGGCAGGAAGCATGTCCAGTCCTCTGCTGTCCTGAGGCTTGGGACAGCTTCGCCAAGATAATTAACAACTAGTGACATTCAGAAAACAGATTTGGAAGAGGAATGTGGAGGTGATGTTAGCTCATGAAAACTACTCTAAAATGTCTAATTAGATGATACAGGTTGAGTATTTCATCCTTTTTATGCAATGAAAACTTAGCAGCCTCTTATTAACCAATACACTCTCCTGATGTGATGCATCGTTCAATTCCTTGTCTTTCTATTGTCTTGCATTGCTGTGGAAAGGCTTCCCTCAAAATGTGCTGATGCAACAGTTGCTGAGAAACTCTGTTATTCTTGGTAAGGAACACCACACATTCTGAAATTAGCAGACTTTGAATTAGCAACAAAATAAAAATATCTTCAGACCTTGTTTTTAAACGCCTGCAAGAACATTGTGCTTTTTAAGAAGTTGACTTAAATTGGACTTTTTCCAGTGTCAATATCTGCCCTTCCAATATCATCTCCTGTGTGAGCTGCTGTCTTATAAAAACTCTCTGAGCTTTGAGGAGTTGCCTTGTACACCCAAAGAAGGGTAGGCTAAGGGGTTTTACTATAGAGCCTACTGTGGAGTATAAACCAATTTCCTGTTTTTCCCAGCATTGATTTTGGAGCTTGGACTCTGTTCAAACATCTATACATTTTTATCAGTTCTTATGAACATTTGAAAGCGTAACAGAGTTGGTCAGCACACACCACATGGTTTCCAGGGAGGAAGTAAAGTAGGATAAAGAGCTTGGTGTTTGATTTCAAAGACTTCTCGCAGAATTTTAAGAACATAGTTTCAAAGGGTGCCAATTTATGCTGTGTATCCTGAAACCGCATGGAAATATTTCATCCCTTATCTCCCACAAGAGAAGGAGGTTGATTTTTTTTAATGGTACAGTCAAACATTTTAACTGTTGGCTGGTTCATTTCATTATGAGAAGGAGAGAAAAAAAGAAATGTTTTGATGATAGCATCAAGTCTTGAATTATGTTTCTTTGGGAATAGGTTGAAAGTATCCCTTGCAACTGGTCTGACTCCTTCTTTCTACTCTGTTCATTGATTTAGGGTTCTATAGCACTAAATAGAGCATTTCAATTCAACACATCCTGGAAAACATAAAACTGTCATTTTTAACTACAACCTATTAAAGCTTAACTTTGTACAGCCAACATTTAAAGAATGATTAAAAAAACTTAATACAACGGGATTGTCTCGGGTATTCCAGTAAAAATAAATAAATAAATTCGAGGTTTCCAGAAAAAATAAGATATTTGTGCTTAAACCTAAAAAAAAGGTTTTGTAAAGAGATGAACTTTTGACTTTGATAATAAAAGACAAAGGCTTAAAGGGAAATAATAGCTGGCCTCTCCTATTAATATTTTTTTCCAGACTGAGTAACGTTTTCCTAATGAATACCATGTGCATTGTAGTCCAGTAGCCCTGTTTTCTTTCACTTTGCAGTTGGTGCTATCTAAATAAGAAGTCTATACATGTGAATTATTTTGGTGCATTTAGTTTTTCACTGGGTCTGTGTCTGTCAATGGGTCAATTGTCAATCAAACATCAATAGTTTAGGGAAAAAAGTAACTTTTTAATTGGAGTCAGCCTATGATGAAAACATTAGCCTGATGATTAAGATAATGAGGTTCCATAACATCTTGATCTACTATCAATTTGTGATGAAAACCTCATTCTTCTGTGTTGGAAAAACTGTGGCTTGCCGTGATCATTTAGCTTTAACCACTTTTCTCACACTTTTGAAAAAAAAATTAGAAAGATCGAAAATCTCTTTACATACAGTACAAGAGGCAGCTCATCAATTATTAAAGAGCAGTTCCCAACTAGGTGACATGCTGCACCCATTGTGCACCAGCAGTCCTCATATTTAGTTGTAGTGGGGAAACGGGAAATTACCTTACCGGCTGAATTAAAGCAGAAATATAGGAGGGACAGACTGGTAAGCACAGAGTGGAACGAAACTCCCCAGCTCTTATGAGCTGTGCCATGGGTTGTGAGAAAGATAGTGTGGACTTTGGGTTAATGTCCTATCATCATTCTGGAACACACTAACAGCACACCTGTTTCCCCCCTGAAAAGCATGCTGTGAAAAAAGGGGTTTGCTAAAGAGGTTTTATGCCTCCAGGACATTAAAGCTGAAATCTATCCATCCACTTCCCAGCCACTTCTTCCAATTCAGGGCCTCAGGGGAGCTGGAGCCTATCCCAGCAAGCAACAGGCACAAGGCAGGATACACCCTGGGAAGGACACCAGTCCATAGGGCAGACACAGACATGCACTCACTCATAGCCAGCCCAATTTTCCCAGAAACCAACTAACCTACCAGAATGTTTCTGGACTGCAGGAGGAAACCCATGCATGCACAGGGAGAATATACTGCAGACAGCACTCCAGGTCTGGAATTGAACCCAGAACCCCAGCTCTGCAAGGCAGCAAGACTAACTACTGTGCCACCAACACATCCCACACCCCCACCCACTGGTTCACCATCAACTAACAACAGCAGCCCGGTTTCCTTGGAGGTCTGTCATTCGAGAACTGATCAGGTCCCACCACGCTTAACTGGTGAATTCCGACAAGGTCAGGCTAGAAGGCAGCAAAGGTGCTGTCGAAAGGGTTGCAGCATTTCAGCATCAATTCATTTTGTAAGACTACTTTTAAGGTGAGGGGGAAATTCTCCCACATTTACAATGCCTCCTGCTAAAAGTATTAACATTTATTTCAGAAAATAGCAAAACAA